TCTCGTTTCATGGGTGCAAAGGGCAGTGAGCAGGCTCCGTGGAGGGGCCAGCGGGGCCTCCCCGTGTGATGACCACACAGCCTGGCAGTGTCAGTGAGGCCAGCACCCCTTCCTGACCTGGCGATGGAGACAGTGAGGGTCTGCATGGCTCCGGGATGGCAGCCCACACCTGGGGGGGCATTAGCTGCTTGAGCGTGCAGTGAGCAGTGGTGGTGGCCACCATGCTCTCGGCAGGCTCACCAAGTCTCAAATGGATTTCTAAGAGGGGATTAAATTCTAGGATTAAAACAAACAGCTGCTTAACAAGGCATTTGATGGATCAAACAAACGTTTAAGACCCTCCCTTATGAGTGTTTTAAAGAGCACAGTGAATGGCTGATGAAGTCCAGATGAACTCGGGCTAAGCTTTCACTGGACAGGAATAAAAAGGGGACTTTTCACAGGCACAGCTGACACTTCACCAGCGTGGGAAAATCAGAGGCTTTCTCTGCATCCCAGGCTCAAAGGGGACACTTCAGGGAGACGCTTCCCATGGCAGTCAGGGCAGTGGTGGAAGCCTTTATATTCCTCAGCTCTGGGAGGGAACATTTGGTTTGACAAAGACGTCATGCAATTGTCAGCCTGCAGCTGCCATCGTGCCCTGTGTTCCAGTTAACTTTCCACAGACATTGCTGAATGAATCAACCAATGTGCTTCCACCGAAAACCTCCACGGTTTTCTCACAAGAGCTACTTTTGAGTTTAATTTGGGTCTCCTCAAATATATATAGTGAATTTTTTAAAAAAAGTAAGTGTAGTACTTTCTTCTAAAACATACCTTGTCTTGGTTGCATCTCAGGGTGACCTTTACAACGTCTTCACTGTGCATTTCACGATGCACCTTCCCTCCCTCTGACTTAGCTGTGCCTGTGGTGATGCACCCTGCCCACCCTGCTCTCCAACTATAAATCAGTATTATCCCACATTAATGTCTCCACCTGGGATGCAGAATGCATAGGAAAAAGCCAAATCTTCCAGGGACTTCTTTGCAAGTAGAATTTTCTTTGGCGAGGTCGTCTGGGTGCTTGATGACCACTGCTATCTCCAACGTGTGAGCGTGTGCTGATCACACTCTTGGAAGGGGTAGAGAATCCCAAGTAGGGACATCCTTAGAGATGGCAGGTGCATGGTCAGGTGCAAGGAGGCCCTTGTCCTGGTTTACTGAGAACTTCCTCCAGGGTCTTCACATTGTACCCACGAGGAGGCCCTTTGGAGGGAGGTATTGTGACTGTTCTGATGGCAGACGGGCAACAGGAGAAGATGGGGGCTTAACACAGCCCGCATGGCAAGTAGGAGCCACCATCTCCTGCACGTGGGCCATGCCTCACTTTTGACATCTCATGTGTGGACCATTGCAGAGGCAGGTCGGAAACCTGAGGGTGGGCTGCAGCCCAAGGGCCACCATGTCCCAAACACTGGAGAAAGCAAAACTAAACCAAACACAAATCTCCCCAATTTTACATCTATCTGCTTTGAAAAACTCTGCCCTACTTTTCACATGTCTGAGTAGAAAACAATCAAATGGAGACCCCCACCAAGGGGCAGAGAAGGATCGGGGTTGTGTGACCAGTAGGGCCTGTCAGTAATCAGAGGCATTTGAAAATCAGCTCTCGTAAATTATCCACACGTCGTATCCCACTGACTGGGCTTCTCGGCACTGCTGGGCACCCTGAAGGGAGAAAACAGTCACAGAATACTTTAAACTAGTCTGACGATGGAAGTGCTAGGTCATGGCCAACACGGAAACTTGATCATTAAAACACCTTAGCTGATGTTCAAACCCAGAGAGCAACTAAATCCTGGGCCTGAGAGATTCTGAAAGAATTGTTTATGTTCCCACAGGTTTTCTAAATTCTGGAGTCAAATGTAATTACATCTTTCTTTCTTTGATAACTGGTATGTGCTCTGAGGCCGCTAAAATACAGATAATGAGATGAGAAAAGTAAAGTTCACATGAACCATTCAGAGCTTCGTTCCTAGTGCTCAAAATGCCTTGCTTGGCTCTCATCCCCTAAAACGGACCCATACTGTGCTGAGCTGCTCCACCGCAACCCACTGCTACATTCGCCTCTGTCTTTTCAAATCAGTTTCCACTCTGAAATGTTTGTACCTGGGAGCCTAATTCTGTGCGGTGACTGTACTCTCCTGGCCTTTTCTAATAGAGTTTTCTTTGCTTTTCCCTGTCAGAGCTCAGCCTGGAAACCCAATGTGCTTTGTTCAAGCAGGGCCTGTGGTACTCAGCCACATGCAAAGCAGAGCCGGTGTGCAGCGTTCCCTAACAAGGAGGCCCACGTGCCCATAATATCATTTCCTTGCCTCTTAGGATTATAGGCATTTTCCAGTCTTCCTCCTAACAATGTGAATAAACACACTTTGAGAGGAAATGTTATGGACCCACATCACTAAAGAGAATTACCTTCTCAAAATGACATTCTACCAAATGTTTTGTAAGTAAATTATAAATTCAATCAGGCTCAGTAACATAGACTAAGATAATTTCCAAAATAATATATTTTTCACTTTTACTAGTGCTTCATCAGTGAGAAAGTTTTATTTTATTGGGATATAATGTACAAAAATAAATAAATAAATATAACACAGGGAAATAGGTTCATTCATGTTGGTACGATTATAGTGTTTTCTACAGAGGAGGCAAAGACAGCATTTGGGCTACACAGTGAGACCCCACAGGCCTGCGTGGCAGAGGTAAGTTCTGGGTGTCCTTTTCTCAGGGATTGGGGGTGGCAGGAGGGCTTCAGGTGACAGTGACCTTGGCTCCTTGCTGGCTCCTGTGCCCCAGCCCCCACCCTAGCAGATGGTGGCTTTCAATGGCCAAGTCCCTGTAGACCCCCCTTTCTTCTCCTGAAAGTGAGAGTCAAAGCTCTCTGCCTGCACCTGGGTAGGGGTGCTGAGCTGGTGAGTTTTCAGTAAAATTCAAAACTGAGGAGATTTTAGAGATACCTGGATATCTCAAATTAAAACCGTTTCTGACTTGGCCCCTATCCCCTGAAGAGTCTGGGTCTGGGAGAAGAAAATACTAAGACTGGCTGAGGGGTCTTCTTTTCAAATGGTGCAATAATCAATAGCTGTCCCCCCAACATGCTGCTGGGAAGACGGCTGACACCCTGGGCAGCCTGGCCTGCCTATGGGACTCTGGGCACTATGTGTGGTCAGCCACAGGTGTTGCCGGACATGAGCAAGACAGTGGGTGATAATGCAATCCAGCTGCTCCATTTTCATAAGAAACTATCTTTTCTGTCTTTTAACTTTAAAAGGTTGTGTATCTTTCAAAAAGAATTCTATATCTACACAACAACAAACTTTAGCATCAAATCTTCCTGGGAAAATATTCTTTTTGTTACTATCCAGTAGAGCAGTGGTTCTCAACCTTCCTAATGCTGTGGCCCTTTAATGCAGTTCTGGGGGTTGTTGCCCCCCGGTTTGGGACTTGTTGCGTTGGGGGCCCTTTTTAAAAATTTTTCTTTTTTTCTTAAAACCAAAAAATCTTCAATTTCTTCACATCTTTGTGCAAAAGAGTCTTATTTTTCAGTGGGCTTGGGCTTTCTGGGGTATGGTAAGATGATGAGCACCTCTTGGATTTGGAGCCCAGAATACCCACATTATGAGAGAAGTTGGGGAAAGAGAAATCTCTAATTTTATCTTTTCTGTTGCTGGATATTTTATAAAGTTCTAACTCTATTTCTATTTGGATACTCATAGGAAGTCTGAGTTAACAAATGAGAATAAGTATCTGGACAGAACAATGTTGCCTGACGCTCTGTCTCTCCATTCATATGGAAGAATATTACTTTAAAACTCACTTGATATACCCTGCTCCTTTCCAGCGCCTTCCATGGAAGCCATTAAAATGTTAATAAGAATTTTATTTATAATACATATTACATATACATACATAGATGTATATCCTTTAAAAAAGAGAATATATTTTTAAACACATAAAAACCATTGATTATAAATATTTGGTATACTAAAATATTTCCTTCCTCCTAATATTAGATAAATAAGGAGTGGGGGATGGAGCTGAAACTCTTGCTAAAATCTTACTTGCCTCATGGAACATCAAACCTTTCGTGTTTGCACATTTAGTTTCCAATAGAAGCTGTGAGAGCACCTGTTTATGTTCTTGTATTCCTGTACTTTGTGGGCTGATGGCTTTATGTCCATCCTTTATTTGAAGTGTTGGCAAATAAATACATGATAATCTTGACTCTTTGTCACTAGTCTGAATTCCAAAAAAAAAAAAAAAAATTTAAAGAACTCTAGTTAATTGCTTTTAATAACAAAAATATAAAGTGCCTCTTCTTAGCAGAGACAATATGAGAAACAGAGAAACAAGGAAACCAAACCACAAGCTATCTTTGATGACTTTGGAAAATAATTAAAATTCACACTTAAATGATACACCATTCCATATTATAAATTATATGATTACATAAAAATTAAAACTGAAATAAATAATCGAAGCTGGTTTCCTTGTCTGGTGTACTTCGCCTGCCCCTCCTTTCTCAGCTGCTCCCCACTCTCCTCCTTACTTGAGAGAAGGGGCCAGGTGACAGCGCAAATTCAAAGAAAATCCTTTCCTTCTTGAGGAAAAACATGCAGAGCCTTCAGTATTGTCTACTGCAGGTTTTATGAAAGTGAATCTGGTTTTGCCCGCGTGGGAAGTGGCGTGGGCAGCAGCGACACCCCCTGTCCTCTGAGGTGCACAGGTGCGTGCTGTCTGCTGAGTTCCCTCAGCCTCGGGTTTGTGTGAACAGACCCGCTCACGCGTGGATTTAACCAGGGTGACCCGTCTTTGGAAACTGGTGACATATTTCATTGTCATATTCATATCACAACGATCGGCTCATTATAAAATCACACAAAGTTGCAATACGGTGCAGGAAAGAATCCCTTCTTAAGAAAATAACGTAATCTTCCGGCACTGGTCAGGAACCATCTTTAGCTGCAACACGTGTATTTCCTCGCGATGCTCTGACTGTCCATAAACTTGGGATCCACCGAGGCCACTTTGGCCGCTATGAAGGAGTGGATGCAATGGAGCACGGCTGTCAGGTCCTGAAACTCCAGTTCCTGTAAAAAAAACCATACAATTAGATGTGTTTATTATAATTATTGGGAGAGTGTGTTGCAAACATACTTAACAAATTTCTGCTTTGTAAACTCAAAGTAAAATTACACATGACGGAAGGAAGTAGAAGGCAGAGTAATATCAAAGATTGGCTAAGACCATAAAATGCTATTTTATTAGTATTACTACTCGGGTAGTTTAGTGCATTTTTTCCTTCTACCCCAGGAGTAGGGACGAGGCAAGGCTGAGGCGCATTTTCCTGGTTTTTCAGCCTGACTTGACAGCCGCTCAGGGACAGGCTCCCGTCACCACTGCATGAAGGACCTGCGTGGGCTCCTGGTAACACACTCATGCTGTTTGTCATTTGGCAAAAGTCGCCATTGTGTACCATCCATGCCGCCTGCGTGTGCATTTTTATAACTAAGACTATGGTCCAAAGGAATAGCCACCAGCTCTGCAGTGCTGGGCGCACGTGCGCAGCGAGCTGTGCGGTGCCGAGTGCGCA